AGCTCGCTCGCGCACATGGGCGCTCAAGCCCGGCGAGCGGCGGCGCCCCCGCCCTCCTCGGCCTGCGGCCCCGCCTCTCTTCCGAAGGGGCCGACGGCGACGTCTCCGCAGGCGGACCGAGCCTCGTTCGCCGTCTCGAGTCTTCCTGACGAGGAGCGGCGCCTTGCTTGGTAGTGTTGCCGGTATGGCGCCGATACGGTCTGGACCCAACTCTGGATGCTGGGAGCACCGCCGCTGGCGTTGGGTTTACTGCTGGGTTTTGAACTCGTGCACATCTTAACTAACAGTGGGGTGGGCAGCAGAGCTGTGACACTAAAAGGGGGGAAAGGGAGGGAGACTGTACACATACATGCATATCCAGATAGATGAGTGTGCATATTAGAGTTAATGAAGAAGGGAAGCAGTAAACAACGTCTCTCCACTTGTTTTGCTTTTTCATTAATTGAAAAGTCACCATAGAGTTCCATATAATTTTCAAAGACATAGCCTCGTTAGCTTTCAGCATGCAGAAAACAAAACCTCAGTATTGGGGCTTTATTTCGACGTGATCGTTTGTCGATTACAGTCCACATCCACAGATCTATGGAGTACAATTTTGTCGAGAACATGGTCGCAGTACAATGCTTAAGCGTTAAGTGCTACATGTTGTGCTCTTTAATAGTCTGAGGAAGTGGACTGCAAAGTACAGTACAAAAGCTCCCACTCTAATGAAAGCTTCCGCTCTAATGAACCAATAGTCAAAATATTATGACTATATTATGACTATATAATATATTATGACTATATAATATTTTGACTATTGATTTTTAAAAAGGTGTGGCCTCTGTTCTAGCACTGCACTTGCTGAAGTGAACTTTCTACTGAGTGTTTGTGGCTGCATCTCTACCTGTTAATGTGTACTGCTGGCAATTCCAGGAGTCACCTGGAAACAGGCTGTTTTGTGTAAAGTGTTTCCTCAGACTGCAAAGGGTCCTTTCCTTTAGTTTGTGCCATCAGTGGGGAATATTGCTGCTGAATGTGGAAAACATACTTACTTAGATTGCAGCACCCAGAATCATCCATCCAGCATTACACCCACAACAAGACACACTAATCACCCATCTACAGAAAAAGATAAAAGCCTATCTCACAGCCATAAATACTGCACTCCCAAGCCAACTACACCAGAGCACAGAGTGCTGTCCTCTGAAGATGCCGGCCACAGAGACTGGCGAAATGTTAGGAAGAACAACCTTCAGAACACGGCCAAAGAGCCCGAAAAACCCACAACAACTTCTGCGTATTCTTGCCATCTCTTCTTGATATTTTCTTCTTCTGTTAGGTGCCTCCCATTTTTGTCCTTTATCATGTCCATCTTTGCACAAAATGTTCCTTTAATATCTCCAATTTTCTTGAACAGATCTCTGGTTTTTCTCTTTCTATTCTTTTCCTCTATTTCTTTGTACTGTTCATTTAAGAAGGCCCTCTTGTCTCTCATTGCTTTTCTTTGTAAGTTTGCATTCAATTTTCTGTAACTTTCCCTATCTCCCCTGCATTTTGTTTCCCTTCCCTTCTCTGCTATTTGTAAGGCCTCGTTGGACAGCCACTTTGATTTCTATATTGCCAATCTGATTTCGGTATTGCCCATCTGGTGATGTCCACGTGAAAAGTCGCCTATTGTGTTGTTGGAAAAGAGTGTTTGTGATGACCAGCTTGTTCTCTTGACAAGACTCTATTAGCCTTTACCCTGCTTCGTTTTGAACTCCGAGGCCAAACTAACCTGTTGTTCCTTTTATCTCTACTTTAACATTCCAGTCCCCTATAACGAGGGGACGTGATGGCGCTGCGGGCTAAACCGCAGGAGGCTTTGTGTGCTGCAGGGTCAGAAGACCAGCAGCTGTAAGATCGAATCCACATGACAGAGTGAGCTCCCGTCGCTTTGTCTCAGCTCCTCGCCAACCTACCAGTTTGAAACCATGTAAAGGCGAGGAGATAAATAGGTACCATCTCGATGGGAAGGTAAACAGCGTTCTGAAATCTAAAGTTGCCCTGGCCACGTGACAACGGACAACTGTCTTCGGACAAACGCTGGCCCCCTAGAGTCGAACATGACTGACTAAAATGTCAAGGGGAACCTTTACCTTTACCTCTGGCATGATGAGCTCAGGTGGGCTTTCAGTTTCAATTTCCGTGGTCACGTCACCAGCATGACTAGACATGGAACGCTGTTACTTTCCCACCAAGGTGGAACCTATTTATCTACTCACATTTTTACATGCTTTCAAACTGCTAGGTTAGCAGAAGCTGGGACAAGCGAAGGGAGCTATCTCTGTTGCTTGACCTTGCAGCACAGAGGCTTCGGTGGTTTAACCTGCAGTGCTGCCACATCCCTTGTTATCATGCCATGCCATGTCATTATGCCATAGGTAGCTGCAAAACTGCCTAGATACTAGAATATTAATTGCTGTTAAAATGGACTGGACTGGGACATTTTCAGTCAGGTGATTACAGAGTGTTTTACTATACTCTGGAAATGACAAACTCAGGAGAAACTGAGTGACTGTAATGTTGAGGCAAGAGATAGCACTGGGAGTTAGGAACTACAATACAAAGGCTGAACAAATAGTATCCATCAGATTTCTGAGAAAACCTATCAGTATAACCATTATTCAGGTCTATGCTATGACTACAGAAGCTGAAGAAGATGGAACTTGGTAATTGTTAGAACAGTACAACAATTATCTCGGGAGGTGGTAAGCACTGGGAATAAATACTGTAAATCACTATTTCAAGCCATGGAAACTGAATCTGTTAAAATCCTAACGATAATATTCCAACAAATAGGAAAGCAAGCAATGGACAACGGAATGGAAACATTCAATATACATCCTAATGTCTGAGAAAGGAGATGCCAAAGAGTGCAGTAACTATAGGACTATTGCAAATGGGACGTAGACTAGAGCCATGATTGAATTTTAATTGTTGTAAGCCGCCCAGAGACCTTTGGGTAGAGTGGGCGGCATAAAAGTTAAATAAATAAATAAATAAACTGAACACAGACTAGAGCCCATTGGAAAGACCTATTCCGTGGCAGTCATGGCAGCAAAAAAGTCATTATTCACTGCCACCAATGTATATGTGCAGAATCAGGCAGCAGAGCTTTTCCAAGTGGTTGAGGGCTTGTTACATCACGGCCCACAGGAAGGTCGTTTGATCACTCAGTAGCTCAATGTGAAAAAAATTGCACAGCACTTTGCAGGCAGAATCGCTTAGATCCACTCTGAGTTGGATGCCATAGTTAATACAGGTCCTGTAGATGTAACTATGGCTCTTGCTTGTCCAGTGTTGATGAATAAGTTTTAGTTTTTGTAGCCTGGTGATGTAGACAGGACCCTTGGAGAGGTGAGGGCTACCATTTGTCTACTAGACCCTTGCCTGTCCTGGCTCATAAAAGCTGTCAGAGAGGGACAGGCCAATTGGGTCCAAGGGTAGTGAATGCTTCCTTGCAGCAGGGTAGCATCCCAGCATGCTTAAAGGAGGCACAAGCAAGACCATTATTGAAAAGGCCCTCCTTGGACCCCACAGTACTGGATAATTATCAGCCAGTGTATAATATCCCATTCTTGGGGAAGGCGCTGGAGCAGATTTTGTGGCTTCTCGGCTCCAGGGGTTCCTGGATGAGACAAATTGTTTAGATCCTTTTCAATCCGGCTTCTACATGAAACCATGAGAGAGGTTGTCCAGAGTTTTGTGGTTTGGTGTCACCAGTGGTTCCTGGATGAGACAAATTGTTTAGATCCTTTTCAATCTGGCTTTTACATGAAACCATGAGAGAGGTTGTCCAGGGTTTTGTGGTTCGGTGTCACCAGTGCGCTGATGACACCCAACTCTATCTCTCCTTTCCATCTAAATCCAAGGAAGCTGTTTCGGTTCTAAATCAGTGTCCAGTGTCAATAATGGACTGGATGAGGGCAAATAAACTGAAACTTAATCCAGACAAGATAGAAGAGGTCCTGGTCAGTCAAAAAGCATATCAGAGAATAGGTTTGCAGGCTGTGCTGGATGAGGTTACACTACTTCTGAAAACACAGGTGTGCAGCATGGGGATACTCTGGGATTCATCTCTGAGCCTGGATGCCCAGGTTTCAGTGGTGGCCAGGAGTGCCTTTGCACAGGTAAAATTAGTTTGCCAGCTGCACCCATTTTTTGAGAGGTCTGATTTGGCCATGGTGACATGGTCTAGTTACATCTTGGCTGGATTATTCTAACATGCTGTACGTGGGGGTGCCTTTGGAAAGTGTTCAAAAACTCCAGAGGGCCCCAAATATTGCAGCAGATTGCTAACTGGTCCACTGGCTGCCAATCTGTTTCCAGGCAAATTCAAAGTGCTGGTTTTTAATCTATAAAGCCCTAGAATTTGGCCTGGGTCCAAGCTATCTAAAGGATTGCATCTCCCTCTATGATCCTGCCCAGGTATCAAGGTCATCAGGGAAGGCCTTTCTCTTGGTTCCACCACCCTCACAGGTGCATTTGAGGAAGACACAGGAGAGGGCCTTCTCTGTTGCTGTTCCCAGACTTTGGAACGCCCTCCCACAGGAGGCTAAGCTGGCCCCATCTTTATTGTCCTTCCGCAAGCAGGCAGAGACCTTTTTCTTCAGGCAGGCATTTCCTTAATGACTGGTGGTTTTAAAATGGACTGTTGTGCTCTGCTAAAACTGTTGCTTTATGTGTGTTTTAGTAATGATTTTACATACCATTTTTAATATACTGTACTTAATTCTTTCTAAAACTTTTAAATATTTAAATACTTGATGTTTTAGCTTTTAAATATTGTCTTTTTAATTATGGAAGCCACCTTGAGTCCTTTTTAAGGAGAAAGGCAGGAAATAAATATTTAAAATAAGTGAATTATAAGCAAATTGCTCTTTGATTCGTATTTGGTGCATAGACATTTACTAATGTATAATCTTCTTCCCCCATTTGACCCTGAATTATCAAATATCTACCATTGCTATCTCTTAATTACTTCTTTTACCACAATTGCTCTTATTTCACACGCAGGCAACGTGATGTTCAAGGTGTTGCAACCAAGGCTTTTACCTTATATGGTGTGAGAAATGCCTGACATGAGGATTCAAAAAAGAAAGAGGCACTTGAGATCACATTGCAAATATTCACTGGATACAGGAGCATACCCATGAATTTCAGAGACAAGATGGTTTCTTATAGAAAAGGTAACAGACAAGGGTGCATTTTCTCTCCCTGTCTGTTCAGTCTATTTGCAGAAAATATTGGA